TTCGGGTTATTTCTGGTGTTAACATCCTAGAAGTTGACCCCCAAGTCCGGGTCTCACTATACGCCCCTTTGTCGGCAGAGTGTTCACCGCGCTTCGCCACACATTATCGCCCGTGGAAACTCGACAAAACTTACATCCATATTTAAGCAATATTCATAGAATGATACTATCTAGACGATAATTGTATCAGATATGACAGATGTAGAGTTGTAGCCATTCAGAGACAGGATCAGTTTAACTTATATTGAGTATGTAATACAGAAAGGCAGATGTAGGGCGGCCGTGGAACCTTCTAGAAGGTTCCATCCGCCTGAACTGCGGGGGCGGCACTTCTCGTTTCGCGCCCCCAAGCTAGCGTTTCCTGAAATAATAATCAAGTATATCTAGCAAATTCACCACATGTAGAGGCAGCGGCATCAATTGGCCGCTACAAACAACACTCTAGTACTAACTTACTTGCAGTTAGTGATTCCACAGTTGCAGCCCACGTCGATTGCATCGACATGCTCAACATTATTACAATATCACATCAAATGGCATCATTCCTGTGACCTGCAGGTGATTGCACATGCAGGAATGCCCCATACTTTTACTGCGTAATGTAAAATGTTAGACAATGTCGTCCCCCAGCAAATGTTTTGGGTTTTGTTTGCATGTGCGACAGGACAAATTGTCTTACAAAATTGGTAGAAGTTGGTGATTCCTTCTGGGTATAATGAGTCCCTATTACTTAGCTGATTACTCCATTCTCTATTTAAAAAAAAGAAAAACACGGTATCATGCCCTGTAATAAGCAAACTGTTGGACTCAATGTCCGACAAATTCTGGAGAATGATATATTCTCACACAATACCAATATTTCAACAAAGTGCATTGCGCGGTAGCACGGAGCGATATCGACGAGTATGTCGTTAGGATTCACTGGACGCTGCTTTTACAAAAATAAAAAAACTGCATTTTAATGCATTTTTAAAAATATATTTTTACAGGAAAATCATCGCATTTTAATGACGAAAAATAGTTTACACACAATTTAACAAAATAGAGAATTAGCAAGGATTTTCTTTTACGATCAGGCGAAAAAGCGAAAATTTTCGAAGGTCAAACATGATTAGAAGCTCTCATTACTTTGAATATAGTTTAGGAGCAATGCTTACATCTAGATGGCAATATTTTAAGAATAGTGGTGGTATTTAGGTCCACGGAGCACTCGGGGGTTTCGAGTTAGGGTCAGTCAAAAGAAACGCTCTTTCTTACTCAAAGTGGGTATTTCGTATTTCAATTGCGTGAAATGGTTTTTCTCTTCCATTTTTGGCTATTGACCAATAGGCATGGGCAAAAAAATACAGCAATCTGACAACACGGTACACACCTCTGGAACCCCCGCCTGGTTACGCAAGATGCGCCGTGTTAATACAGAAACTCACGGTAGCGAAAGGAGGATGGTTTTTTTTTTCTTGGGTCGTATTCAGACATGACCTGGGTTTGCCTAAATTTAAACCAGGCGGTCACAGCCCAGTATTCGCTTCATTTGCTAGTTTTATACACTTATGGGCGAAAGAAGTGTAAGGAGTAACTATTCCCTTGTCGTAGATTACCTGTGGCACCCACTGCTATCCGTTAGCCATACTTAAAAGGGTAGCTTTGAATGGTATGCGGAGTTAGCGTCATTTTTCGATTTAACGCCCATCCAGCAGTCAGTGTCGTCATTGGAATGTACGTCAAGCTCAAATGAGGAGTCTGATAGCTCTTTCGATTGATAGATTGGCTTGCTTTGGCGACAGAGCGCTCAATAATACTGGAATTATCGCAGAGTGCATGGACGATCAGAATTCAGGTCATGTCCGAATACGATCCAAAAACAGAATAACCCGAAGAGGACGGTTCTGCTCCAACTAAACATACCCGAAGAGGACGGTTCTACTCCAACTAAACATACCCGAAGCGCTCTCGTAGCGCTAGTACCACTTTTGTGCTGCTGTATACCTTTTTGTGGTTGGAAATCCCCACTCCAATATTCAATAACGGCAAAAGAAAGAAAATGCTGATTTTTAGGTATAACGAAAACAAACGTGCTAATCTAAATCAGTACGAATCGACATGTTGCTTGTTCTAGAGTCACTCCGGCTTACTTGGGCAGCAAAGCCATCTTAGAAGTGATCTTCACTGTACAGCGGTGCCTTTTTCGTCTTGAACTTCTTGTGTAACTTGCTGAGTGCAGCCTGGTATCTTTCTAGTACGTCCGCATTTATGGACGCCATATATCCAGGCTCCTTGGCTCTCTTAAGGTCAATATCAAATTTTTTAGCCAGCGAATTGATTCTCTCGAGAGGGGCAGCTCGTTCTTCTGTATCAGCGGTAGTGTCGTAGGCGTGGTGGGTCCTCAGCAGCCGCTGGCTTGGGCCACTGGGCAAAGCCCCCTTGGAGATAGAAGCCACATCAGAGTCCGATAGAGCATCGCTAGCAGCGAGCATAGCGGCCGCAATCACCAGGAGGACTTGAGATAGACGCATGTTATGCTGATTCGTCGTGGGCTTTGGAGCTGAAGAGAAAAATGTGAAGTGAGACCTGAACCGAAGTTGGTGGAATAGCGTCCATCGTGTGGTCTCGTGGTGACTAAAGGAATGCAAGTTGTATCGTAGACTTTGAATCGGACTCGCTCTATCAACACTGCTCCAGCAGCACAACTGTACTGTTCTGTATTCATGTGATAGCGTATACTTTGTGGAGATCCAGGGATAGATCCAGATGGCGTGACCACGCGTGAATAATCCCAGATGTTGTTGCAGTCGAATCCTGTTTGCGGTCTGCGACATACAGCGCTACAAGTACAAATGTACGAAGTTGTACATGCAGTATCAATACTGCTCCAGCAGAACAAATAATACTACTACTCCGTTTCATATTACTTGTCCTCTTCAACTTTCAGCCTGTTTCAAAATGCTTGTCCCTCAACTACACTTATTTTAATTATGGTGTGATGATTATCCATGCCGAGACAGTAGGGTCAGAGCACGGAATGTTCAAATGAAGTCTTCCCTCCCGGCGAAGCTTGTGCAAGCTTGTAGGTGATCTCACCACCTTCCCTTATGCACGACTCCATTGCGCACTGCAACTCTAAGTGGCGGAGGCCAACCTCCTTTATTGCCCCGCGTCGAGGTTTGCCAGCATCCGAGCGGCCAGTATCTCGGAAACGGCCTGCTGGCGCTCTCGTGGTGTCAGTTCTCGTTTTGTGCGCTGGTTAGTCTCAATGGCGGTCAGTGGTTAGTTTCGGAATACTCCAGATATGA